TCTCCTCCCCATCCCCGCACCTCACCCCTCCTCCTCCCCCATCCCCTCAGCCTCACGCCTCCTCCTCCCCCTCCCCCCTCCCCTCGCCTCACCCTCTCCTCCCCCATCCCCTCAGCCTCCCCCTCTCCTCCCTCTCCTCCCCCAGCCCCTCAGCCTCACCCCTTCTGCCTCCCCTCCCCTCAGCTCACTCCCTCTCCCTCCCCCATCCCCTCACCTCACCCCTCTCCTCCCCCTCTCCTCCCCCATCCCCTCACTCCCACCTTCTCCTCTCCTCTCCCCCCCTCCTCCCCCATCCTCCTCATTCCCACCCCTCCCCTCCCCCCCCTCCTCCCCATTTCCTCAGCCTCACCCTCTCCTTCCCCTCCTCCCCCCTCATCCCCCTCAGTCCCCCCCCTCCTCCCCCTCCCCTCCCCCATCCCCCAGTCCCACCCCTCCTCCTCCCCCTCCTCCCCCACCCCTCTCCTCCCCCCCTCCCCCATCCCTCAGTCCCCCACACCCCTCTCCTCCCCCTCCTCCTCCTCCTCCCTCTTTACAGGAAGATGGTGCCATTTGGAACGGGCACACTTAAAAAACAGTAAATATGACTGCTGCAGAGGGGGAGTGTTTGAACCTTTGTCTGTCTCTGTAGCTGAAGGGATGAGATCCGGCTAAGCTGCTCCCACTGCCTTTTTCCCTCACTAACGAGGTTACTGTGACCTGCTTGTAAGGCTTGTTTGCCCTGGACTGAGCCAAACACCATGTCGAGAGTAATAACATCCCTCTGAGGTAGCTGGCTCTCGGGTGTTTTAGAGAGAGGAGGGTATCAATCCCTCTAGGCTATTCTGGGCTCTCTGTGTGGTTTAGAGAGAGGATGTGAGAGTGTCATGCTAAAAGCAGTGTTGTTTATGCTTCCACGTCTGTACACCAAAACGCTGGTAACGGGTCAATTTTACTGAGGCCTGCCAAGTTGTGGTGGCCCTGTCTGTCTGCAGGTACGACAAGCCTAGATTGGTTCCTTCTATTGACCAGACCTGGGTTACAATACATAGCTGAGGCATATCTGCTTTACACAGAAACCATGCCTACAGTACAAGACGGACCCCTTCTGTTGACGCAGTCCGTACTAGAGCCTAGTATATCGGACATTAGACAAACATTCAGTCTTCTAATTCATCATTTAGACGTAACGATACATAAAACAAGTTAACTACGGCCGGGATTCAAGTCGATCGACGATATGGACAGTGCACCATTTAAAGGTAATTTCCGTGGTCTCTACGAACACTGGAACATTAGCTTTAAAAAGGTGCATAGCTGACAAAGGCGCGATCGGATCGAATCCTGGCCTTTATGTGATCAATTATTTCAATACACAGTGAAGATTAAAAGGGTAAATACTTGAATAGTACCAAATAGAGGAATAACTCCTGGATGTGTGACGTGGCAGGTACCATGATGAGTGATTTACTGGTTAGGAAAAACACTTGAGTGATTTACTGGTTAGGAAAAACACTTGAGTGATTTACTAGTTAGGAAAAACACTTGAGTGATTTACTAGTTAGGAAAAACACTTGAGTGATTTACTGGTTAGGAAAAACACTTGAGTGATTTACTAGTTAGGAAAAACACTTGAGTGATTTACTATGTAGAAAATACATTTGCATGTGCATCCCCATTTGACCCGTATGAGCTTTGGTCAAAAGTAGTGCACTGCTTACTTAGTTCGAATCCCCCGAGCCAACTAGGTAAAAACATCTGTCGACGTGCCCTTGAGCAAGGCACTTAACCCTAATTGCTGGGGTAAACGGCTCTGGATAAGAGCGTCTGCTAAATGACTAAAACTGTGATGCCAGCCCATGTGCTGTGTGTGGGTTCGATGTCAACCATAGCAGAAGGGTAGTGGCCAGCTAAAGGTGCACTGACTCTTTCACTTTAAATAACTGTTATTGCCCATAAACATTGTGATTTAAACGTACAAAATGTAAAGGTTGTTCAAAGATTCAGAAGGATGTGTTGGTTTGATCTAAGAAGCGGTCAGGGAATCATGCCCTTCATCTAAATCTACTCAAATGGAGCATATGATTACTGTGTGATAATGGAAATAAACTAGTACCGTAACACTGAAGACAGACAAGCAGCAGGACAGTCTATGGGGCAACATACCTGGACATCTTAGTAGGGTTTGGCCAGGATTTAGTCCAATCACGCTTTGTCCTCTATGCACTTTTTAAAGGCAAAGATCCGGCTTCACAGTAAACCTGCATATGTCAGCTCATTCAGATATTTGACTTTTATATGGTGCATAGCCGACAAATCGCAATTGAATCCTGGGCTTTTTTGTATATTATACTGAACAAAAAATATAAACGCAACATGCAGTTCATATGAGGAAATCAGTCAATTCAAATAAATTCATTAGGCCCTAATCTATGGATTTCACATGACTGGGAATACAGATTTGCATCTGTTGGTCACAGATACCTTTAAAAAAATGGGCCTCACAGTGGGCCTTAGGATCTTGTCACGGTATCTCTGTGCGTTAAAATTGCCATCGATGAAATGGAATTGTGTTTGTTGTCCGTAGCTTATGCCTGCCCATACCATAACCCCACCGCCACCATGGGGCACTCTGTTCACAACGATGACTTCAGCAAACCACTCGCCCACACGACGCCATACACGTGGTCTGCGGTTGTGAGGCCGGTTGGACGTACTGACAAATTCTCTAAAACGATGTTGGAGGCGGCTTATAGTAGAGAAATTAACATTCAATTCTCTGGCAACAGCTCTGGTGGACATTCCTGCAGTCAGCATGCCAATTGCACGCTCCCTCCAAACTTGAGACATATGCGGCATTGTGTTGTGTGACAAAACTGCACATTTGAGAGTGGCCTTTTATTGTCCCCAGCACAAGGTGCACCTGTGTAATGATCATGCTGTTCAATCAGCTTCTTGATATGCCACACCTGTCAGGTGGATGGATTATCTTGGCAAAGGCGAAACGCTCACTAACAGGGATGTAAACAAATTTGCGCACAGATTTTTTTTGAGAGAAATACGCTTTCTGAGCGTATGAAACATTTCAGGGATATTTTATTTCAGCTCATGAAACATGGGACCAACACTTTACATGTTGAGTTTATATTTCTTTTGTTCAGTGTGATATTATCAATCATGTATGTTTTTACTGCATATCCCAGCTGGAACATACAGTATTTCAACACTAACCTATAGGAATAGGACCAGCAGCATGACATGTGACCAGAAGTATTCATCTTGATATATACAACAGTAAGGTGATAATAACACATAGCTGCTCATTCTATATGAACTATGCTCAACGTTCCCATGTCTACATTTCTGATCAATAGGGAAACTTGGTCTTCGCAAAAATCAATCAATCATTTTTTGCAGATTATTGTTACCATGAATACCATGAAATGATCAGGGTTGGGTTGGGTTGTTTAGGTCTTGGATCAGTCAGTTTTGTTGTTAGAGATAAACCACATAGTTCTCAGGGATCAGGCCAGTCTTTCCCTGGAACGTTGCTTGGAGCCAGCCAGGTTCAATAGATGGATAGACTGAGGATGGAGAGACACAGAGAGAACATCTGTCAGTCAAAGAGAGGAGAGAGAGGAACGTTGCTTGGAGCCAGTCAGGTTCAATGAAACATGGAGAGCGAACCATACTAGGCTGACCTTTAATGACAGCTGAAACCTCACTGGGCAAGAATAATTAGCATTAATGACAGATCAAACCGCACTAGGGTAGAATAATTAGCATTGATGACAGATCAAACATTTACATTACATTTACATTTTAGTCATTTAGCAGACGCTCTTATCCAGAGCGACTTACAGGACCTCACTAGGGTAGAATAATTAGCATTAATGACAGATCAAACCGCACTAGGGTAGAATAATTAGCATTGATGACAGATCAAACCGCACTAGGGTAGAATAATTAGCATTGATGACAGATCAAACCGCACTAGGGTAGAATAATTAGCATTGATGACAGATCAAACCGCACTAGGCTGGAGTAATTAGCGTTAATGATCAAGGGAGCCTCCAGGTCAGTCTGTTCTTTTTGAATTATACCCACTCCCCTCTCCTCTCCTCCCCCTCACTCCCCCATCCCCTCATCCTCACCCCTCTCCTCCTCCCCCATCCCATCAGGCCTAAGACACCTATCCTCCTCCCACATCACCATCAGCCTCACCTCCTCTCCTCCCCCATCCCATCAGCCTCACTCCGTATCCTCCCCCATCCCCTCAGGTCCGTCACTCCCTCCTCCCCCCGTCCCCATCCCCTCAGCATCACCCCTCTCCTCCCCTCTCCCCCCATCCCTCTCCATCCCCCTCCTCCCCATCCCCTCAGCACCCACCCCTCTCCCTCCCCTCTCCTCCCCCCATCCCCTCAGCCCGCCTCACCCCTCTCACCTCCCCCATCCCACTCAAGCCTCACCCCTCTCCTCCCATCCTCCCTCAGGCCTACCCCTCCCTCTCCCCCATCACCTCCAGCCTCACCCTCTCCTCCCCTCTCCTCCCCCATCCCCTCAGCCTCACCCCTCTCCTCCCCCATCCCCTCAGCCTCACCCCTCTCCTCCCATCCCTCAGCTCACCCCTCACTCTCCCCCCATCCCGTCCACCCATTCTCCTCTCCTCCCTCCCCCCCTCCCCCATCCCCTCATCCCACCCCTCCCCTCCCCCTCCTCCCCCATTTCTCAGCCTCACCCCTCTCCTCCCCCTCCTCCCCATCCCCTCAATCCCACCCCTCTCCTCCCCCTCCTCCCCCATCCCCTCAGTCCCACCCCTCTCCTCCCCCTCCTCCCCCACCCCTCTCCTCCCCCTCCTCCCCCATCCCCTCAGTCCCACCCCTCTCCTCCCCTCTCCTCCTCCTCCTCTTTACAGGGAATATGGTGCCATTTGGAACGGGCACACTTAAACAGTAATATGACTGCTGCAGAGGGGGATAGTGTTGACCTTGTCTGTCTCTGTTAGCTGAAGGGATGAGATCCGGCTAAGCTGCTCCACTGCCTTCCATCACTACGAGGTTACTGTGACCTGCTGTAAGGCTGTTGCCCTGGGACTGAGCCAAACACATGGCGAGAGGTAATAACATCCCTCTGAGGGTAGGCTGGCTCTCTGGGTGTTTAGAGAGAGGATGGGTAATCACATCCCTCTGAGGCTAGGCTGGCTCTCTGGGTGTTTAGAGAGAGGATGTGAGAGTGTCATGCTAAAAGCAGTGTTGTTATGCTTCCACTGTCTGTACACAAAACGCTGGTAAACGGTCAAGTTATTACTGAGGCCTGCCAAGTTGGGGTGGACCCTGTCTGTCTGCAGGTACAGACAGCCTAGATATGGTTCCTTCTATTGACCAGACCTGGGTAAAATACATAGCTGAGGCATATCTGCTGTACACAGGAACAGATAGCCTACAGTACAGACGGACCCCATTCTGTTTAACAGTAGACACACCCCATTAGCTGTCTGTGTGTGTGTGTGTGTTAACTGAGTGAGTGACTCACCTTTTGAGAAGAGCGCCCCCTGTGGGAAGCTGAGCTCATGGCTGTGTTCTGCCTCACAGGAGTACATGGCCTTGGCGTCTCTGGAACCAACACAGGAGACACAGAAGACATTACAAAGTCAACAGACATCCTGTATATCTATGACCTTGGTGTCTTTATGGATATGGATGGACTGAGAGATAAAGACAGACAGATGATAAATGAAACACCCAGGAGACAATGACAGGTGACTAACAGGTGACTAACATGTGAATAACATGTGAATAACAGGTGAATAACAGGTGAATAACAGGTGACTAATGGGTGAATAACAGGTGACTAATGGGTGAATAACAGGTGACTAACAGGTGACTAATGGGTGACTAACAGGTGACTAATGGGTGAATAACAGGTGACTAACTGTTGACTAATGGGTGAATAACAGGTGACTAATGGGTGAATAACAGGTGAATAACAGGTGACTAATGGTGAATAACAGGTGAATAACCGTTGACTAATGGGTGACTAATGGGTGAATTACAGGTGAATAACAGGTGAATAACAGGTGAATTACAGGTGACTAATGGGTGAATAACAGGTGACTAATGGATGAATAACAGGTGAATAACAGGTGACTAACAGTTGACTAATGGGTGAATAACAGGTGACTAATGGGTGAATAACAGGTGAATAACAGGTGAATAACAGGTGACTAATGGGTGACTAATGGGTGAATAACAGGTGAATAACAGGTGAATAACAGATGACTAATGGGTGAATAGCAGGTGACTAACAGTTGACTAATGGGTGAATAACAGGTGATTAATGGGTGAATAACAGGTGACTAATTAGTGACTAACAGGTGACTAACAGGTGAATAACAGGTGACTAACAGGTGAATAACAGGTGACTAACATATGAATAACAGGTGACTAACAGGTGAATAACAGGTGAACAACAGGTGACTAATGGTGAATGACAGGTGACTAATGGGTGAATAACAGGTGACTAACCGGTGACTAATGGGTGACTAACAGGTGACTAATGGGTGAATACAGGTGACTAACTGTTGACTAATGGGTGAATAACAGGTGACTAATGGGTGAATAACAGGTGAATAACAGGTGACTAATGGTGAATAACAGGTGAATAACTGTTGACTAATGGGTGAATTACACGTGAATAACAGGTGAATAACAGTTGACTAATGGGTGAATAACAGGTGACTAATGGATGAATAACAGGTGAATAACAGGTGAATAACAGGTGACTAACAGTTGACTAATGGGTGAATAACAGGTGACTAATGGGTGAATAACAGGTGAATAACAGGTGAATAACAGGTGACTAATGGGTGACTAATGGGTGAATAACAGGTGAATAACAGGTGAATAGCAGATGACTAATGGGTGAATAGCAGGTGACTAACAGTTGACTAATGGGTGAATAACAGGTGATTAATGGGTGAATAACAGGTGACTAATGAGTGACTAACAGGTGACTAACAGGTGAATAACAGGTGACTAACAGGTGAATAACAGGTGACTAACATGTGAATAACAGGTGACTAACAGGTGAATATCAGGTGAATAACAGGTGACTAATGGGTGAATAACAGGTGACTAATGAGTGACTAACAGGTGACTAACAGGTGAATAACAGGTGACTAACAGGTGAATAACAGGTGACTAACATGTGAATAACAGGTGACTAACAGGTGAATAACAGGTGACTAATGGGTGAATAACAGGTGACTAATGATGAATAACAGGTGAATAACAGGTGAATAACAGGTGAATAACAGGTGACTAATGGGTGAATAACAGGTGACTAATGGGTGAATAACAGGTGACTAATGGGTCAATAACAGGTGAATAACAGGTGAATAACAGGTGCCTAATGGGTGAATAACAGGTGACTAATGGGTGAATAACAGGTGAATAACAGGTGAATAACAGGTGACTAATGGGTGAATAACAGGTGAATAACAGGTGAATAACAGGTGAATAACAGATGACTAATGGGTGAATAGCAGGTGACTAATGGGTGAATAACATGTGACTAATGGGTGAATAACAGGTGAATAACAGGTGACTAACAGGTGAATAACAGGTGAAGAACAGGTGAATAACAGGTGAATAACAGGTGAATAACAGGTGACTAACAGGTGACTAACAGGTGAATAACAGGTGAATAACAGGTGACTAATGGGTGAATAACAGGTGACTAATGGGTGAATAACAGGTGAATAAAAGGTGAATAACAGGTGAATAACAGGTGACTAGTGGGTGAATAACAGGTGAATAACAGGTGACTAACAGGTGAATAACAGGTGACTAATGGGTGAATAACAGGTGAATAACAGGTGAATAACAGGTGACTAATGGGTGAATAACAGGTGACTAATGGGTGAATAACAGGTGAATAACAGGTGAATAACAGGTGAATAACAGGTGACTAATGGGTGAATAACAGGTGAATAACAGGTGAATAACAGGTGACTAATGGGTGACTAATGGGTGAATAACAGGTGAATAACAGGTGAATAGCAGATGACTAATGGGTGAATAGCAGGTGACTAACAGTTGACTAATGGGTGAATAACAGGTGATTAATGGGTGAATAACAGGTGACTAATGAGTGACTAACAGGTGACTAACAGGTGAATAACAGGTGACTAACAGGTGAATAACAGGTGACTAACATGTGAATAACAGGTGACTAACAGGTGAATATCAGGTGAATAACAGGTGACTAATGGGTGAATAACAGGTGACTAATGAGTGACTAACAGGTGACTAACAGGTGAATAACAGGTGACTAACAGGTGAATAACAGGTGACTAACATGTGAATAACAGGTGACTAACAGGTGAATAACAGGTGACTAATGGGTGAATAACAGGTGACTAATGGTGAATAACAGGTGAATAACAGGTGAATAACAGGTGAATAACAGGTGAATAACAGGTGACTAATGGGTGAATAACAGGTGACTAATGGGTGAATAACAGGTGACTAATGGGTCAATAACAGGTGAATAACAGGTGAATAACAGGTGCCTAATGGGTGAATAACAGGTGACTAATGGGTGAATAACAGGTGAATAACAGGTGAATAACAGGTGACTAATGGGTGAATAACAGGTGAATAACAGGTGAATAACAGATGACTAATGGGTGAATAGCAGGTGACTAATGGGTGAATAACATGTGACTAATGGGTGAATAACAGGTGAATAACAGGTGACTAACAGGTGAATAACAGGTGACTAACAGGTGAAGAACAGGTGAATAACAGGTGAATAACAGGTGAATAACAGGTGACTAACAGGTGACTAACAGGTGAATAACAGGTGAATAACAGGTGACTAATGGGTGAATAACAGGTGACTAATGGGTGAATAACAGGTGAATAAAAGGTGAATAACAGGTGAATAACAGGTGACTAGTGGGTGAATAACAGGTGAATAACAGGTGACTAACAGGTGAATAACAGGTGACTAATGGGTGAATAACAGGTGAATAACAGGTGAATAACAGGTGACTAATGGGTGAATAACAGGTGACTAATGGGTGAATAACAGGTGAATAACAGGTGAATAACAGGTGAATAACAGGTGACTAATGGGTGAATAACAGGTGAATAATAGTAGAGAGTAGGCCGTATATTGAGCAGGTCAGACATTTGGGATAACATAGATATTGGGATATTGGGACATTGGGACATTGGGACATTGGGACATTGGGACATTGGGACATTGGGACATTGGGACATTGGGACATTGTACCTTCCAACAGGTGTGGTCTGCGCCGCTGAGGGGGAGTTTTCAAACAGCATGGCTCTTGCAGCGACCCTGAAACACAAACAGGAACAATTCAGTTGCATTTGCCTATTATCAAAAAAATCTATATACCAATGGCCTGAAATCTCATACTAATGGATTACATATATTCAAAAGGCCACCTTTTGTTATTTTGAGGCTAACAGAATGACCCTGCACACAGGGGTAAGTGCACTTTCACTCAGAGCACCCAGCGTCCCTCATTGTTAAGGGTGAAGTCACAGCGAAACGCTTCAGATACACAATAAGATACACAATAGGGGAGGCTTCCTTCCCTCCCCTCCCCTTCCCTCCCCTCCCCTTCCCTTCCCTTCCCTTCCCTTCCCTCCCCTCCCCTCCCATTCCGTCTCCAAGGTGCAGAAACAGCTCTTGACCCACTGAAGACACAGGGGAGGAGGCCTTACCCTACAGGACAACTGAAGACACAGGAGGGGAGGCCCTTACCCTACAGGACAACTGAAGACACAGGAGGGGAGGCCTTACCCTACAGGACAACTGAAGACACAGGAGGGGAGGTCCTTAGGAGGTGCCTGAGGAAAGCCCAAAGCATCATCAAGGACCCCAACCACCCCAGCCATGAGCTGTTCTCCCCCTTACCGTCAGACAGACAGTATCGGAGCATGAGGTCTGATACCAACAGGCTCAGAGACAGTTTCTATCTACAAGCCATCAGACTGTATCGGAGCATGAGGTCTGATACCAACAGGCTCAGAGACAGTTTCTATCTACAAGCCATCAGACTGTATTGGAGCATGAGGTCTGATACCAACAGGCTCAGAGACAGTTTCTATCTACAAGCCATCAGACTGTATTGGAGCATGAGGTCTGATACCAACAGGCTCAGAGACAGTTTCTATCTACAAGCCATCAGACTGTATCGGAGCATGAGGTCTGATACCAACAGGCTCAGAGACAGTTTCTATCTACAAGCCATCAGACTGTATTGGAGCATGAGGTCTGATACCAACAGGCTCAGAGACAGTTTCTATCTACAAGCCATCAGACTGTATCGGAGCATGAGGTCTGATACCAACAGGCTCAGAGACAGTTTCTATCTACAAGCCATCAGACTGTATCGGAGCATGAGGTCTGATACCAACAGGCTCAGAGACAGTTTCTATCTACAAGCCATCAGACAGTATCGGAGCATGAGGTCTGATACCAACAGGCTCAGAGACAGTTTTCTATCTACAAGCCATCAGACTGTATCGGAGCATGAGGTCTGATACCAACAGGCTCAGAGACAGTTTCTATCTACAAGCCATCAGACTGTATTGGAGCATGAGGTCTGATACCAACAGGCTCAGAACCATCAGACTGCTGAACACTTCCCTGTGTCCCTCCCTGTGTCTCCATGTGTCCTTTCCTGTGTCCCTCCCTGTGTCCCTCCATGTGTCCTTCCCTGTGTCCCTCCCTGTGTCCCTCCCTGTGTCCCTCCATGTGTCCCTCCTTGTCTCCCTCCCTGTGTCCTTCCCTGTGTCCTTTCCTGTGTCCCTCCCTGTGTCCCTCCATGTGTCCTTCCCTGTGTCCCTCCCTGTGTCCCTCCCTGTGTCACTCCCTGTGTCCCTCCATGTGTCCTTCCCTGTGTCCTTCCCTGTGTCCTTCCCTGTGTCCCTCCTGTGTCCCTCCATGTGTCCTTCCCTGTGTCCCTCCCTGTGTCCCTCCCTGTGTCCCTCCCTGTGTCCCTCCATGTGTCCTTCCCTGTGTCCTTCCCTGTGTCCCTCCATGTGTCCCTCCCTGTGTCCCTCCCTGTGTCCCTCCTTGTCTCCCTCCCTGTGTCCTTCCCTGTGTCCTTTCCTGTGTCCCTCCCTGTGTCCCTCCATGTGTCCTTCCCTGTGTCCCTCCCTGTGTCCCTCCCTGTGTCACTCCCTGTGTCCCTCCATGTGTCCTTCCCTGTGTCCTTCCCTGTGTCCCTCCATGTGTCCCTCCCTGTGTCCCTCCCTGTGTCATTCCCTGTGTCCTTCCCTGTGTCCTTCCATGTGTCCCTCCTTGTCTCCCTCCCTGTGTCCTTCCCTGTGTCCTTTCCTGTGTCCCTCCCTGTGTCCCTCCATGTGTCCTTCCCTGTGTCCCTCCCTGTGTCCCTCCCTGTGTCCCTCCCTGTGTCCCTCCATGTGTCCTTCCCTGTGTCCCTCCCTGTGTCCCTCCCTGTGTCCCTCCCTGTGTCCCTCCATGTGTCCCTCCTTGTCTCCCTCCCTGTGTCCTTCCCTGTGTCCTTTCCTGTGTCCCTCCCTGTGTCCCTCCATGTGTCCTTCCCTGTGTCCCTCCCTGTGTCCCTCCCTGTGTCACTCCCTGTGTCCCTCCATGTGTCCTTCCCTGTGTCCTTCCCTGTGTCCTTCCCTGTGTCCCTCCATGTGTCCTTCCCTGTGTCCCTCCCTGTGTCCCTCCCTGTGTCCCTCCCTGTGTCCCTCCATGTGTCCTTCCCTGTGTCCTTCCCTGTGTCCCTCCATGTGTCCCTCCCTGTGTCCCTCCCTGTGTCCCTCCTTGTCTCCCTCCCTGTGTCCTTCCCTGTGTCCTTTCCTGTGTCCCTCCCTGTGTCCCTCCATGTGTCCTTCCCTGTGTCCCTCCCTGTGTCCCTCCCTGTGTCACTCCCTGTGTCCCTCCATGTGTCCTTCCCTGTGTCCTTCCCTGTGTCCCTCCATGTGTCCCTCCCTGTGTCCCTCCCTGTGTCCTTCCCTGTGTCCTTCCCTGTGTCCTTCCATGTGTCCCTCCTTGTCTCCCTCCCTGTGTCCTTCCCTGTGTCCTTTCCTGTGTCCCTCCCTGTGTCCCTCCCTGTGTCCTTCCCTGTGTCCCTCCCTGTGTCCCTCCCTGTGTCACTCCCTGTGTCCCTCCATGTGTCCTTCCCTGTGTCCTTCCCTGTGTCCCTCCATGTGTCCCTCCCTGTGTCCCTCCCTGTGTCCTTCCCTGTGTCCTTCCCTGTGTCCTTCCCTTTGTCCCTCCCTGTGTCCTTCCCTGTGTCCTTCCCTTTGTCCCTTGCTTTGTCCCTCCCTGTGTCCCTCCCTGTGTCCCTCCCTGTGTCTCTCCCTGTGTCCTTCCCTGTGTCCCTCCCTGTGTCCCTCCCTGTGTCCCTCACTGTGTCCCTCACTGTGTCCCTCCCTGTGTCACTCCCTGTGTCCCTCCATGTGTCCTTCCCTGTGTCCCTCCATGTGTCCCTCCCTGTGTCCCTCCCTGTGTCCCTCCCTGTGTCCCTCCCTGTGTCCTTCCCTGTGTCCCTCCCTGTGTCCTTCCCTGTGTCCTTCCCTTTGTCCCTTGCTTTGTCCCTCCCTGTGTCCCTCCCTGTGTCCTTCCCTGTGTCCCTCCCTGTGTCCCTCCCTGTGTCCCTCCCTGTGTCCTTCCCTTTGTCCCTTGCTTTGTCCCTCCCTGTGTCCCTCCCTGTGTCCTTCCCTGTGTCCCTCCCTGTGTCCCTCCCTGTGTCCCTCCCTGTGTCCTTCCCTGTGTCCCTCCCTGTGTCCCTCCATGTGTCCTTCCCTGTGTCCCTCCCTGTGTCACTCCATGTGTCCTTCCCTGTGTCCTTCCCTGTGTCCCTCCCTGTGTCCTTCCCTGTGTCCTACCCTTTGTCCCTCGCTTTGTCCCTCCCTGTGTCCCTCCCTGTGTCCCTCCCTGTGTCTCCCTGTGTCCTTCCCTGTGTCCCTCCCATGTTCTTCCCTGTGTCCCTCCATGTGTCCCTCCCTGTGTCTCCCTGTGTCCTTCCCTGTGTCCCTCCCTGTGTCCTTCCCTGTGTCCCTCCCTGTGTCCTTCCCTTTGTCCTTCCCTGTGTGTGTTTGTGTGTGTTTTGGGCGATAGGGGCCCTCGTCAAAAATAGTACGCTATGTAGGGAATAGGGTGTCATTTGGGACAAGCCAAATAATAGTCTGATCCTCTGTACTCCACAACACAGGCAGGAAGGCACTTCAGTACTTGAGGAGCCATGTCATTGGCTTTTCCTTCCATGACATGTCAAACAATCGAATTGCCCCGAGAGAGAGAGAGAGAGAGAGAGAGAGAGAGAGAGAGAGAGAGAGAGAGAGAGAGAGAGAGAGAGAGAGAGAGAGAGACAGAGAGAGAGAGACACAAGAAGAGAGAGAGAGAGGGAGAAGAGAGGAGGGAGAGAGGAGGAGAGACAGAGAGACGAGAGAGAGAGAGGGGGAGAGAGAGGGAGATGCTGGGTCACATCAACCCAGAACGTAATTAAAGCAGACTGACTCTCCCACCGATAGGAAAAATACATTAATCTCACAGCACTCACACACACACACACACACACACACACACACACACACACACACACACAACACTCACACACTAAACACACAACACGCAACACAACACAACACACACACACACACACACACACACACACAACTCATACACACACACACACACACACGCACACAACACACACACACACAAACACACAACACTCATACACACTATACACATACACATACACACACACTCAACACACACACACGCACAACAAACAAACACACAACACACTCATACACACGTAAAACAGAAACAACACAACACACACACAAAAAAAAAAAACACAACACAAACACAAACACAAAACACACAAACAACACAAACAAACACACACAAACAAACTAAACAAACACAAACAGAACACACACAACACACACAACACAACACACACTACATACACACTACAGAAAAATACAAACCACACAAATACACACAAACACAACAATAATACCACTCATACACATTAAACACTAACTCACACAAACACACTCACACACAACACACACACACACAACACACACACACCACACTCATACTCACCACTCATACACACACATCACACACACACACACAACACACACACAACACTCATACACACTCATACACACACACACACACACCACACATCATACACACACACTCATACACTCACTCTCTCACACACACAGTAAGATGTGTCTTGCAGAGTGTTTTAAGGGTTGTTGATATTGTGTGTGTGTTCTAGTAGTGTCCTGTCCATTACACTGATCCTGGTCTCTGGTATCCGTTGCTGGAGGACTCCATCTTGTCCGGTCTGTCTCTCCGACGGGTGACTAGTTGAGGAGGGAAGTCTGGGTGGTCCGTAGACTTTCCACTGTCCTCTTTCTGGTCCAGCGTCACGGCAGACAAACTCTGGACTGAACCTGCCAGGCTCCTCCGGCCTTGGGGGAAGAGATAAGCGCCTCAGTGGGTGCGTCCCAAACGATACCCTATTCCCTATATGGGGCACTACACGTGTCCCTGTCTACTGCACCGCTATAGGCCCGGGGCTTGCTGCCCTAATAGGGTGCCATTTGGGACGCAGTCAAGCACCTAATTATCTACTAGACAGCCAAAGAAAGGTTTATCATATTGATGACAATGAGTCATCTTTATCTGTGGGGGAGCACAGTAGTATGTAGCCCTCTGTCTCTGTTGTGACTCTGTTGTGGAGAAGATAGAGTTCAACAACATTACTAATTGGAGAGAAAATGAAAAGCTTTCCTTTGCTTTGGAATTTCTTTTTTTTTTTTTACAGGAAAGGAAAACTAATCTTAGTGACTGCAAGCACGAATCCCTGTGCGTCAAAGGAACGTGAAGAGAATGGAATGTTAAAAAGGCTTTTTTTTAATAGTACTATTGCTAATGGTAATAGCATATGAGGCTTGGGATTTGACAATATTACTGCAGGTAAAACACTTGAAAGAATAATGGAAAACAAAACTGTGAAAGAAGTCAAAACGTCTGTATCTCTGTGAAAGTAGTCATAACGTCTGTACCTCAGTGAAAAAAGTCAAAACGTCTATCTCTATAATTTTTCATGGGTTTTCCTATACAAGCCTCTGAATCTACTTTGTACTGAGTTGGACTCCTACCTCCAGAGATATACAGAGATATGTTGGGCTCCTACTTCCAGAGTCATAGAGGGGCCATACTTGCGAACATTAGAAAAAGTTGAAGTATCAGCCATTGTTGACGTACAGTACCAGTAAAACGTTTGGACACACCTACTCATTCAAGGGTTTTTCTTTATTTTTTACTATTTTCTACATTGTAGAATAATAGTGAAGACATCAAAACTATGAAATAATACATATGGAATCATGTAGTAACCAAAAAAGTGTTAATAAATTCAACATTTATTTTAGATTTTAGATTCTTCAAAGTAGCCACCCTTTGCCTTGATGACAGCTTTGCACACTCTTGGCATTTTCTCAACCAGCTTCATGAGGAATGCTTTTCCAACAGTCTTGAAGGAGTTCCCACATATGCTGAGCATTTGTTGGCTGCTTTTCCTTCACTCTGCAGTCCAACTCATCCCAAACCATCTCAATTGGGTTGAGGTCGGGTAATTGTGGAGGCCAGGTCATCTGATGCAGCACTCCATCACTCTCCTTCTTGGTAAAATAGCCCTTACACAGCCTGGAGGTGTGTTGGGTCATTGTCCTGTTGAAAACTAAATGATAGTCCCACTAAGCCCAAACCAGATGGGATGGCGTATCGCTGCAGAATGCTGTGGTAGCCATGCGGGTTAAGTGTGCCTTGAATTCTAAATAAATCACAGACAGTGTCACCAGCAAAGCACCCCCACACCATCACACCTCCTCCTTCATGCTTTACGGTGGGAATGACACATGCGGAGATCATCCGTTCACCTACTCTGCGCCTCACAAAGACACAGCGGTTGGAACGAATAATCTCAAATTAGGACTCATCGGACCAAAGGACAGATTTCCACCGGTCTAATGTCCATTGCTCGAGATTCTTGGCCCAAGCAAGTCTCTTCTTCTTATTGGTGTCCTTTAGTAGTGGTTTCTTTGCAGCAATTCCATGAAGGCCTGATTCACGCAGTCTCCTCTGAACAGTTGATGTTGAGATGTGTCTGTTACTTGAACTCTGTGAAGCATTTATTTGGGCTGCAATCTGAGGTGCAGTTAATGAATTTATCCTCTTCAGCAGAGGTAACTCTGGGTCTTCCATTCCTGTGGCGGTCCTCATGAGAGCCAGTTTGATCATAGCGCTTGATGGTTTTTGCGACTGCACTTGAAGAAACTTTAAAAGTTATTGAATTTTTCCAGATTGACTGAACTTCATGTCTTAAAGTAATGATGGACTGTCGTTTCTCTTTGCTTATTTGAGCTGTTCTTGCCATAATATGGACTTGGTCTTTTACCAAATAGGGCTATCTTCTGAACACCACCTCTACTTTGTCACAACACAACTGATTGGCTCAAACGCATTAAGAAGGAAATAAATTCCACAAATTAACTTTTAAGAAGGCACACCTCTTAATTGAAATGCATTCCAGGTGACTACCTCATGACGCTGGTTGAGAGAATGCCAAGAGTGTGCAAAGCTGTCATCAAAAATATATTTTGATTTGTTGAACACTTTTCTGGTTACTACATGATTCCATATGTGTTATTTCATAGTTTTGATGTTGTCGTATCGAGTGAGTGGTGGCAATTATTGCTGATAAACAAAGGAGTCCGCTCATACTGAATCCTTGATCATAAGTTTATTCAGATCACAAGCTTCAGCATAAGTGACAGGTGACATGACACCCGGAGAACGGCGCCTCAGATTGGAATGGCCGTTCTGCCCTTTCTGTAGTCTAGCCCCTATTTATAAACAATGCAAAAAGATGCTCCCTCTTCTGGCCAATCACCAGTCTCCCCTGTCTACAACACACTTCCTGTCTGTTGTATGTGGCGTTACACTAAAACATTCCCTCTTGATACTAAAATCAACATTCTTTCAGTTCCACTTAAAAAACATTTAACACCATCATAATCTCAATACACTACAATGTCTTCACTATTATTCTACAATGTAGAAAATAGTTAAAATAAAGAAAAACCCTGGAATGAGTAGGTGTTCTCAAACGTTTGACTGGTAGTGTAGTTGTACATGATCAAAGGCTACATGTCAACATAACCGTCCTCCTCACCAGGTGGCACTGATTATTTCCTGTAATAAAAAATCCTGCATCAAAGATCTTAAACTTTTTATCCACAAACCTCTGGCATTTGTTAAAATAGGTCAACTTGGCCACCAGAGATATATATTTAAACCTCCAAATTAAATATTTACTTTTGTTCCTCTTCTCTTGGTCTGCCTCAAGACAATATTGCATAACCATCGCATCCTTGACCAGGCTGCTTACTAACGTTACGTTTAGACAAAGCTCTTTTTGCGCACAAACAATTCACGAAATTTTTAATCCAAAAACCCCAAAGGGGAAATTGCGCTGTTTTTGGCAGGAAACTAATGGGGGGTCCCTAATAAACCCAAAAGGGGAATGGATTTCTTGCCCCTTTGGGAGTGTCAAGGGTTTTTTGGGGGAGGCTGCTCTCCTCCTTTCTCGGGCAGGCCCTTTTGGGGGGTCCCTTTGGGCCCGGGGTATAGCACCAGTTGTATGTTTTCGATGTTTGTTTTGGGGTTTGTCTTTATTGTACACCTGTTTCCCTTTGGGTTTAAAGATGTCCCCTATAAATTTCTTGTTTTGTTAGTGTGGGGTTGTGTTGGTTTTTTGTTCGCCTGTCATTTTGGTGCCCGCTCATGTTTTGAAATTTTCCTGGTTGTCGCACGGGTGGTTTTTGTTTCGCTTGGGAGTATTGTTTTTTAAAGGGACTGGGGCGTATCACTCGCCCCCTGTTTTTTTGAGGTCAGGGGGTCTTGTTTATTTTTTTTGTGCAAATAAAAGGGCGGTTGACTTAGCTTCTGTTTTCCCGCGTGGACTCCTTTCCCCCCAAACCCCCCTCCCGGGCCCGGGTTTCCCGGACAGAAAAACAAAAAACCCCCCATGGGGGGTCGCAGAGCCCCCCACGCGCAAAATTTCCCTATGGAGAAAGCGCGTCCCGCGGGGAGGACTAAGGGTACAAAAAGGGTCACGGGCCCCCCCTGCAGAAAAGTTTAAAAACCACGCTCCACCGATGGGTAAAAAGGGGTTTTCCCCCACCTCCCCTCCCGGACCTCCACCTTCGACCAGTCCTGCCCCAAGTTTTCCCGGAAACCAAAGGGGGGGTTCCCGGGTCTCGCTTCCCCCGGGGGGTATGATTGGCCCCCCGCAGCCGGGTGTCAGGGGTTTTTTCCTTTCCAGGGGGAGTCTAAACCCGGCCCCCCGACACCCGGCGCCCTTTGGGGAAAGAGAGGGTTTTTCCCCTCATTTTCCTTTCTCCCACCGGGGAAGGCGTTTGGAGTGGGGGCCAAACCCGAATGGGGGTGGATAGACGCCGGCCCCCATCACCCACGCGGAAATTTTCCCGCCCCCTTGGGCCCGGGGTTTGACCCCTCCCCCCTGAAAGGGGGAAAAAGGGGTGGGGGGCTCTTTTCTACCTCCGACATGGGGGGGGGAGCGCACCGGGGTTTTTCCCCGGAAAATTTTGGACCCTGGGCGGAGCAGGGTGGAAGAACGGGGCCCCCATCGACCACTACCTTTTATTTTCGGGGGACGTTTTTTCGAAGCTGGCCCGCAGGGATACCAACCTCCTTCGACCAGTTTTGGGGGACACCCTGCGGCCAAACCCCCGGACGTTCCCATTTGGGGGGCGTCCATTTTTCCCTCCAGAAACCCCCGAGGGGCCCAGGGAATGGATTTGGGGGTGCTGGGGGGCTAGAGAGAGGAGGAAGGAGGACCCCGGGGGGGCCGCCCCTTTCACCCCCTGTTTGGGCCGGGGGAGGGACACCGCGGCTAGGTGCTGGGGGGGGTTTTTCCCCAGGGGAGGGGGGAAACCGGCCAAGCACTGGGGAAACCCTTCCCGGTGATAGGGGTCCCCACTTACCCAGAGCTCTCTGTTGTTTCATTTTTTGTTAACCCCGTAAAAATTTCCAAAAGGTTTTCACCTCACCCCGCATAAGGGCGCTAGGATTCAGGCGCAGCTGGGAATTTTGTTGATCGGAAATTTGTTTAGGTTTTGGGGTTCCCCCCCCTCCCTGTTGACGCCCCCCTTTTTCCCCTTCATGCCCTAGTAGCCGTCCGGGGGGATCCCGGGGTTGATTAGGGGGGTCACCAGCCCCCACTTAGGATTTTACGCAGGGGGGTTATGAAACTATTCAGCTTTTTCTGATCGGGTTTCCTGCGTATCCCCTTTGGGGCTGGGAATTCCCCCTTTATACCCATAATCCCTTTAATTTGTTTGGGAAAAGAGGCTCTTTTGGTGGTCTGCCCCGTGTGGGGTCGGTGTTTTAGGTGTTTCCGGGGGGGGGGCGACCTCGGTGGAGGTCCCCAAAACCCGGGGCCCAATACACATTCCCCCCGAGTTGAGGATTTTTTCACTCGGTTTAGTAAAATTAAGGGCATAGGGAGGGGATTGTGCGATTGATCCCAGCAAGGAGCAGCGCTCCCACGGGGCCAAAGGGGGATCCTCTGTCTCAAAGGAGAAGAGGGC